TGTAAAGATTGAATTCATAATGATTGAGAACATACTGTAGCTGAGTTAATGAGAGCATTGTAATCTTGACGTCAAGTCAATGTTGATCATGCATTTTAAGTTGTCTTTGAGAAAAGATCAAATGACCAATGACCAGGAGACACGATCCTCATTAACCACAGTTACTATTCTTGTGAACTATTTATGTTTTTTTCTGTTTTGGACGGAATCAACTGTTTAATGACTAGTCTTTGGATTGTAATTTAAAGTTTGAATATCTTATTTTCAGAATAACCATAAGTTTGCTGTGTCTATAGATGATAGACCTATTAAACCTGGTTTAGGGGTTGGAGGGAAGAAAACTTTTGAACAGTTATTAGAAGAACAGTTATTGGAGGAAGAGAGAAAGGTAAAACTGGAACCAATTCAAATGACTTTATTGAGCTACTATTTTAGTTGCTGTGGTTGGTGTCTTGAGTGAGGCATGCAAAATTCTTCTTGTTCGAGTTTCAATAGCTAATAAATGATTATATTTATATATATGTATTCCATTTGAACCTCTTTCAGCTATTAAAGTATATCTTTCTTGAAAATTTGAATCTGCATTCAAATCCTTGACTCCCATTGAAACTGTGTAACATTTTGATAAAACATTTTAATTTTCAAACTTTAGATATTAGAAGAAGAAGTAGTTGAATCTCCAAGTAGTAAAAAGAAGCCATTTTTGAAACGTGGGCAAGGTTTAGCCCGATTCATGGGAAATAAAGCAGCCAAAGAGACCCAACCAAAACCTAAACCAAAGCCAACAGAGGTGAAATTTAAACAGCCAGAGAAACCGGCTACTGTCAGTAAGGAGAAACGTAAAAATGATGTAAGTTGTATGAATAATACTATATTTTCACCATATTTTTGTGTATTTAACCAGCTGTGTATTATGCAGTAATTATGTGAAATAACAAGAAGTGACATCAGGACTTGACAATACAGAAATGTCAGGTGGCAGAGCATTTCAACTTGAGTTGTTTTAAAATGTCCAAATAGCAGTGATTTATTATAGTTTGATTTTAGGACAAAGGTGTTTGCTGATATTTCTTGAATTAATAATTTTTTCTTTCTGCAGTATAAACTTTGTACACAGATTACTGAGAGTGTCGGTGTATTGTATTTTCTTTTCCTTTCAGCCATCTGCTGGTCCACTTTCAAATACAGCTAAATCAAATCAAGTTTCCAAACCAGGAACCAAACCCAAACCTAGCCAATCAGTGCCTAAGACAGTTTCTAGCCAATCAAATAATCCTTTACATTTAACTCAGACTTTAAAATTAAATCCAAAATCGGCTCCTAAACTTAATAGCTCAAATGTGCCTAAATCTCAAATGAGTTCAACAGCTCCAAAGCCTCAAATAAGCTCAAATGTTCCTCAAAAGACAACAACAGCATCGAACATCCAGGCTTCCATTTATTCCAATCAAACAGCTCATGACAATCAAAGTGCTAAACCTGGAAAATTTCCCACAAATCATAGTGAAACTAAGGAAGTGACATCATCAAATGTGAAACCTAATCTAGATCCTTTTGATGATGATTCTTCATTTGCTGAAGCTGTTCGAACTCGGATTGCTAATGAAGGAGTAAGTACAAAATAATTCTTATAGAAATATTGTGAAGTTTGGGCCAGTTATCTAAAACAACTTTCCGTTCTCTTTATTTATAATTTCCCAATCTTAGATTTGTCCATATTAGGTAATTCATATTAAGTTAGCATTTTTTGTGTCACCAATATTTAGCTTTTCGAAATGTAGTACTTTTCATTGCTGCAGCCATAGAATACTTAGTTCTTTGATTCAAATTTTCATCAAAACTCATCATTATTTTCAGAAAGAACAAGAAGAACTAGCCGAGTTTGAGTTATTAGAAGATTTTGCTGACAATGCTTCATTTTGTTCCAATTCTTCTATAGTAGTTAAATTATTACAGTCAGATAAAAACATCAAATCAGGGGTCAGTTTCAAATGATTTAATTTTCAATACTGTTATTATATTCACAATTATACTGTACATTACTGAAAGTATATCAGAATTATTTTAAATTTTAGTAATTAGAGTTGAAATTCAAAAATTAACAAGACTTAGTTTCATCAATTAAAATGAAGAGTATTTGGTTATTGAATGTATTCTGTATATATTTTTTTTTCTAGGAACCGTTAGTGGGTCTGAAGAGTATTTTAGAAGCAAGACAGAAAGAAAAGCTTCAAAAACTGTAAGTAATTTGATAGAAATCAATTCATTGCATTCATAATTATTCAATTCAATTGACTTATCTCAGAAGATGCAAATAGGTAACAGTAAGCGTTATTTGTGAGGTTTCTATGCAAGCTCTGCATTCAATTGCAAATAAGATTTTTTTCTTTTTCTCATCTGCACCTTTTTCCTTTTTGCTGAAGCATTAAAAAGAGTTTATATGAATTAACTCCTCATGAGATATTTTGTCATGTTTTCTAGACAACAGATACCAGAGCAGTCAGCCCCTGTGGTTCAGGTAGAGGAGGAGGAGAAGGATGAAACTATAGTGGATGAAAATATAACAGACATTACATCAGATACATTAACAGACTCTGATTCTTCTATCAGCTCTGATAGTGCTCTAGATGACCAGGATATCCAATTCTTAACAGCAAAACTAAATCTTCATCAAAACCAGGCATTTACCAACACTAATCAAAACAGTAACCAATTTCAAAATAAAGGACAAGAAAGTTTAGATCCCATACCATCTAAATCTTTAACGCGTAAAATCGCTTCTCGAGATGGCGTGCCATCAGTGGGAACATCAACCTCATCAGCTGATATGAAAACTTTGCTTCAGCGATTGACAGCTTCCAAAGGACCTCATATTGGTTCTCTGATGAATAGTGTTAGTGTAAAACCGTCTTCAGATTCTGATGACATCAAAATTAAGGATCTGGAAAAACAAGAATCAGACAGCGAAAGTGAGGAATCGACCAGTGAAGAAGATGATGATGATGATGATGATGATGATGAGAAAAAGACCAATGATTATGTAAATGATTTCGATGATGAAGAAGAGTGGATTGATAATGCTCCAAAACCCAAAGCTACAGGTAAACACTCCTTATAGTTCATGCTTAGTGCCAGTCATGTACTGGTAAGTAGAAATGAAAGAACATGCTTTAACTAATAGTAATTTTTGCCTTTTTGACACCATCTTATCATTTGTGGTTGGACTATTTCTACATTTCGTGTAATGTTGTTTATTCCTCAGGTAAAGGGTCTACAAATAAGGTCTCACTTCCAGTGTTAGGAAATCATCTAAAATAATTTATTTCAGTCCAAAAAAAAGGTAACAAAATCACGCAAAGATATTGTCAGTGCAACAGCCATGTTATTTTCTATACGACATATTTGTATGTCAGCATCTGTTTCTGAGACTCATCAATGCTGCTAGTGTTTTATTTTTGTATGATATTTGATGTAAGGAAACTAACAATATGTGTAATGACTAATGTTTATATTTTTCAGGTTTAAATGAAAAGAAAGTTGAAGACAAACTTCAGTCAACTCCACCAACATCTAAATTAGTAGCTCGTTTATTTCCCAATCTTAATCAACAACAACAACAACAAGATAAACAACAAAAACAACAGCAGGTAGGCCTACTTTAATTTAAAATATTTTAAGATGTAAAGCTCTTGCCAGAAAAGTGGGACTTGACTATCAACCAGCAAACCTGGAGAGCTGTATAATGTTTAAGTACATATATGATATTCTATTTCTTCAATTTAGGAAGCTGAAAAATTACAGAATACGAAACAATCGGATGGTTTACAGTCTAAAATTTTACGTGATAAATTAGCTGAACTAGAGATTGAAATAGAGAGGTTTAGAAATGAAAATTCTGTTCTTGATAAATTACGTAAAGAAAGAGAAGAGGTAATATTGTCATGAATTATTGCCTTTGAAAGAGCAAAATACTTATTAATCCTTCTTAATTTTTGGGGCTGCTACATTGAGTTAAATCTGCCAATATAGTGTAATTGCAAATTTCAGCTAGCAATATAAACGTGCTGTTATTTTTTCCTGGTGAATTTTTTATAAGAACCTGTCAATAAGAGCTGAAATAGTCTTGGCATAAACAGACTACAATGTAATATTTTGTATCGCTTTGTGCCACATTGTGGATATGATTTACTGATAAAGAAGAGGTAAAAATCTTATTTTTGAACCTCATAAATTCCAGGGTTTGGCTAAGTTGAAGAAGGAAATTAATGATTTTGAGAAAGAGAAATCAGAAGAATTAAAAAGATTAGAAGAATTTAAAAATCAAGAAATGAAAAAACTCAAGTAAGTGAGGAATAAATGAATATCCTGTAAGTCATTGAGTTCAAATGGTGACAAAATATATAATTCAGGCTTCCAATAGTCCATTTGCTGTTCTGGAGGTGACATTTGTAAATCAGTGTGAAATTATCAGTTTGTATTGCAGGGCTGTTGATTTGGATCTACCGTATATTTCCGAATATAATGCGCACCCGTGTATAATGCGCAACCCTTCCTTTTCCCATTAAAATCAGGAAATATCCATTCACCCTTGTATAATGCGCACCCCTTGTTTACGAAAAATTTGAAGTCAGACTTGGCACATCACAGACACCATTATCATCCTGTATATTTGACACGATATCATCTATAATATAAACGCATTTGTTTGTACAATTGAGTCGTTGGCCTTTAGAGAATTGAGAAATGATGTTGTTTTAAAAGGCTAAACAAATCGATCCTCAACATCGATTCGCGGTATTTTGGAAGGGGAAAAAAACTCAAAAATTATTTGACCATGTTTACTGGCACCCCTTCTGTGTGTATCCCTTTTCAGGGTAAAAACCTGCGCATTATACACGGAAATATACGGTATATGCCAGACATGAACGATGGGGCTGCTCATATACATTGTATTGTACCTGGGAGTTTTATGCTCCTGAGAAATAGTTTGATTTGACCTTATGATTGTCAACAATTATTTCTATGAATACATTTTGTTGGTAATTCATACTTGCTTAGTTTTTCCTCACAATGATTTTATTTTTTGTATTTTCAGACATGAACGTAAAATGTTTGAGAAATACCAGAAAACAATAAGATCTATACCTGATAAAAAAGATAGGGAAGAAATAGACATGTTGAAAAATCAGGTAAGGAAAACTCCTCATACATTTTCCTTATATGTAGAAATTTGTATGATATTTGAAATATCCTTTTTTTTAGACCTTTAGACTCATCAAATATAAATCTAAATGAAAAATTATCTTTTAAAGAAGGGTTTTATTCTATATGTAGATAAATGAACTTCAAGAAGAAATGAAAAGGAAAGAAACGAGATGGACGTCAAGTCAAACAAGATTAAAAGATAAACTAGAGTTAGTGGAGTTGGAGAATAAAGAATTAAAGGATGAAATAAAACTACTAGAGAAAAAGAGAATCGAATGGATGCAGAAGGAAGCTGCTACTACATCGTCTAGTCAAAAGGTTTCCTTGTAATCTCTCCATTTAAATTTTCTATATCATCCATATATTGAATTTGTCATGATGTCGCTTGAGTTAATATTGAGAATAGTATTTTTAACAAAATTAATATTTGAATTATTGGTATAATAACAGTATCTAGAGTAAAACCATTTTTCTTATGTTGTCAATGGAAAAATAGAATCTTTGGTAAAATCTTTGCCAAATGTTACTTATAACTGTACCAAATAAAAAAATATTAGTGATGTGAACTTTCCAATTGATTTCAAATTGATAAACTTTTAAATTGCTGAGTCACATCATGTGTTCTTGAAAAGTTAACATTACCAAAAATATTTTGTAGGTTATGGTAAATGGGCACCAGTCCTATCCTAGGAGTAGTACACCTACAAAGGAAACAGAAGATAATCAGCCTAATGTCAATACCCATCACAGTAAGTAACTTCACAGACCATACCCTGTGGATTATTCACCATATAAATTTAGCTGTTCTTACCAATTTCTGCCAGTTTTACCAGTGTATGACAAGTTTTACCATTCTCTAGTCTAGATGTCATATAACTGATATTTTTCAAAATAGACTAAATGTTCAAGAAAGTTGATGATTTATGTTACGGGTTTTTATTTTTTACTTGCCTAATTTTGCTCAGAAGGTGAAATTTTATGATCTAATATAGTTTTTGAGACATATGATAAGAGCTGAAAGAGCATAGAAGGTTTATGATTATAACAATGTAATATTTTTCAGTATCCCCACCAAGAAGTCATGCCCCATTGCAGAAGAAATCGGTAGTAAATCAAGTAAAACAGTATGAAACAGCCAGTAAATCATTGAGTTTAACTACTGATTCTATACCTGCTTTACATCATTCTCTTGGTGATCCACAACCCCGAACACAACCCATTAAACTTACCAGGTAGGCTGAAAAATCACTGTCTAGCTTAAATGATGTTTCAAATCTTAACTTATGAATATGGAGTATTAAGCTCAAGAGCTAAAATATGACATGAACCTATTGCATGCACCACAATATGGTCCATAATGAGCTCAAGAAAAAATATTCCAAAATTCACTCTTTCTTGTCCTTGTCAACAAGAGACTTATTTCTAATCCCATGCTTTTCATATTGTCTTTTTTGTGATTATATTTCTCTTGATTAAATACTTTTTCCAATGACTGCGAAAGTTTAACCAGTTATAAATATCTAACTAGGTCTTCAGAGAATAATTCAACCTCTTTATCAACTTCCACATCAGCTTTATCATCATCAACAGCAACGACATCAAGTGTACCGCGTAAACTAGCTTCTAGATTGTTACTGGATAATCCCACCATAGACAAGGGGAATAAACAATATGAAGAATCACAACACTCTGATGGCAAGGTATTTGTTGTTATTTATGAAGATATAATTAGAACTAATTTGAACCAGGACGCGTATTCTCGAAATGATCTTAGGGCTAGGATATCCTAAAAACAGTGTTAGAAGTTAAGACACAAGGACTTCCTTGCGTTAAGATCGTTTCGAGAATACGCGACCTGGGAGCTAAAATTTATACTTTGAAATTATTTTTGTAACAGATTGAAAGAATATATAAGAATGGTGCTAGAGAAATATTATTTGCTAATGGAACTCGAAAAGAAATCTCATCAGATGGTCAATCTATAGTGGTATCATTTTTTAATGGTGATATAAAACAGATTTATCCAGATAAACGAGTGGTTAGTTTGTTTCTTATTTGTTCATGTTCTGTCCTGTGATTAATGTCTTGTGAATATAGATGACAAATTTACTTTGATATGCAAGGCCTACTATTATGAGAGTGAGAGCTTGTTTTTGCCTAATATCCTGTCAGTGTTCAGTGACCTTGCTTACATTGCTTATGCTTTTGAGTCCTCCCCTTTTCAACCAACTGTCCTGACCAAAATTTCTGTCAGCAGTATCAGATGAGCTCTGGTCAATTAGTTTCATTAGAGTCTCAACCTGTGTCTGTGGAATTTAAACGATTTTCGGTTTATATTTTGTATTTGTTTACTTAAAGGTATACTATTATGCTGATGCCCAGACCTCACATACAACTTATCCTGATAGCCTGGAAGTTTTACAGTTCCAAAAGTAAGAACAAGTAACTTTTCTTTGGAGATCCTGAATAAGTTCTGTTCTATTCAGTATTAGTTCTAGTTTGTGCTCTACTTCAAACTTACTGTTTTGAAGGAATATGAATTTGAATTTTTAATAATTTATTAAATACATATTGTTAATTTTTTCCAGTGGACAAATAGAGAAACATTACCCAGATGGAACCAAAGAAATTACCTTCCCAGATCAGACTGTAAAATATTTATTTCCTAATGGATCTGAAGAGAGTATATTTCCTGATGGAACAGTGATCCGAGTGGATGTCAGTGGAGATAAAACTATGGAATTTCCTAATGGACAGAGAGAAATTCATAATTCACAGTTTAAGGTGAGCTCTTAAGAATAGAATGACACAAACGAGCAACACTAAAATATGTTATATTTGGAATTTTTGTTATCCCTTATGTCAATGATAGCTGTTAATATGCTAATATTTGCACTTGATTTTGTCATTTTCTTTAGTGGATGTTTCTTTTTGAAGTGGATGCAGTTTTGGCTTTGTTTGTTCTTTCCTGGTGTTAAGAATGCATGTGGCTTTTTCAGTCCAACTTACTTACTTTTTTACCCATGTTTTGAAGAGAATCAACAGAAAGCTAGTCTTTTCCACCTGTGCTTTCGTATTTATTATACATTTATTTTCACAGTTTTTGTCAAACAATCTTAAGTATGTGTGTATTTAAATGGATAAGGGACCATCATGTTTTACATTTTATACATATATATTTATAGAGACGTGAATATCCAGACGGAACAGTTAAAACAGTTTATCCTGATGGTAGACAAGAGACACGATATTCCACTGGACGAGTGAGGCTAAAAGATAAAGATGGAAATGTTATTATGGATAGAATATGTTGATAGAATTAATATGGAAAACTGTGATTTTTATAAGAATGATCCAGTGAAGAGAATGTCTTATTGCTGGGACTTATTACCTTAAATGCCCCTGCAAATCCATCTGTCTGCCTTGCTCCAACTAGAAGTCATGCTTTAAAAAGGGTCTGTGTAAGTGATTGATCTGACTCTTGAGCCAGAATTAGCAAGATTGGAATAACAATTAGAATCTTGTCTAAAGCACATCTTCAAAGATGTTTTAAAATGTAGAATCTCCAGATAAGATGTTTTCTGGTGACATTGTCATGACAGATTGTTAATTTGGATGATGTGGCATTAATTATGTTGAAAATTACTTGTGATACAGGTCTATTTTCCAAGTCTGTCAGTTTGTACATAGTACATTATATTAGAAATACGGCCACTAAGTTATGATATTGTGGTTGGAATCATGAACTAGTGCTAGATGATATTTTAGAGTTCAATTTTTAATTCTTAAAGATATTCCATATTTGAAAGCTTTTATATTTTTGAATATAATTTTTAGCTTTTAGTTTCTTGAAAAAATGTTTCTCATAAAGTGCTCTATTTTTGTGTTCGATCTTTTCAAATGTCCGTCCTTAACTTTACTGCCTTGAAATTTAGTGTCAAATGCAAAACATGTCTTGATATACCCAAAGACTTTCTTGAATTTCCTAGTCCATGACATGATCATTTAACATTTTACGATGCAGAAATGCCTCTATATTTTTCTCAGATGCTCACAAGTGCCTGTGTGTTCATTAAAATATAATAGCCAGGTCATAGTTGCTTAAACTGCACATTCAATGCATAAAAATTGCTTGAAAAATGGACAGCTTTCTTCTGTTTTTTTTTAATCTTGTGTCAAATTTTATCTTGAGCCTATTGAAATTTTCATACATAGATTGAGATCATTGTAAATTGTTGTTTTTGCCAATATGTTATTGTAAATAATCTCAATATTATTTATTTGTATCAATTATCAATATGTTAGTCAAAATGGTTTTTATAACTGGAAATGATTAAAATTGCTATAAACTATTGTTTTGTTCAAAATTACTTCCCTTTGGCCCCTCCTATTTTTTTGGAGCTATGAAATGAAGATATTTTCAATTGTAGGAGTTAAGAACAGACCTTGGGACCTGCTCTATCTAGTCACAGATTATTTGACCATATTACTGTGACAAAAGTATTGCATCATGTTGCTGTGACATCACTTTGTCTGAGACTTATTGTCATAGAGACTCATTTATTTTAACCCAATATCCTGTGACCATGCCACATGCTAGGTTCAATATTCAATGCAAAATAAATATCTGTCTTGTCTTTTATATTGATTTGCTGGTTAAACCTTTCATTAGCAATCTCAAAGTATAAAGACAATTGATTTTAGTTAAATTGTTGATTAAAAATAACATCAATCAATTCTTCAAACATTGTTTAATCCTTAAAGAATCATGGAACTTTAGAAATTGCATAGATTGTACTAATTAAACAATTATACTTAAATAATAACAGACCAAAGAGAGAAAAATTACTGTATTGTACTACACAAACTATTGGCATAACAATAGTTGTACATTTATTCAAAAGATGCACACAAAGATCATACAATTCTCTATTTTGGTTCGAATTAATAATTTCATAAAGGTTCTTTTTTTGTCATTAAGTGACATTATTTAAATTCAATTGTCTGCTCAATACATCATTACAAATACCCTGGTTACAACTGACACATTGTCATTGTCGAATTGGATTGTGGAGATATTTTAACTGGAAGAAAAGAGATAAACAGACAGATGGCAGTTATTGGATAAACGTAGATCTATGTTGGATGTTATCCTTATTTAAAGCACATTTCAAAATAGAATTTTCATACAATCAAATAAAAATACCATTTAAACGTTTTTTATGATTTATAAGTACAGTTACAGATCTTTGAAATTCCATGGAATTATTAGTCAGTAAGTGATTTTGCATCAATTTGTGCTGATGCAGGTAGGCATTGCCATATGTCATATAGTAACAATAAGAATTCTTCTTTGCTGATAAATGAGACTTTATTGGCTGATATGAAAATTTGGCTAATATTTTGATCTTGGTAAAAGTCTTGCTTAATGGCAGAATCAATGAGTCTCCACTGGTTGTACAAAATTTGAAGCTAATGACACAACTACTTTTTGGGTTACCACTTTGATAATGTTTTTGATCCTTTACCTCGAATAGCTTGTCAAAAAATTCTTAAACATGAGGCTCATTGACAAGTTAATGTGTGACGCTAATGATTGATTAAGGTTACGTATTTGGTTTAACACTTTGAGAATGTTTATCAGCCTGGGCTTGTAATAAGTCTAAACGTTTTCTCATATAATGTTGCCAATGTAATAACTGTTGGTCATCTATAAACTTAGAACACTGGGAATTCACTAGTTCTTTACGGAAATGTTCATATTGTAATAATTCTAAAAAATGGAGGCACTGTGGATATCTGTAAAATACAAAAATAAATATGAATAATTATATCTTGATCCCGTATACACGATATCACCCAATTTGATTGGATAACAGCAGTCACGTGCATTCGGTTTATATCTGTGTAAACAGAATGTAAATATAAGCTCTGCCTCTTAACGGAGTACTTTTATCATTGAGTTTGATACATGGCGATCGATGTATAAACAGAATTTTTTATTATAAATAATTGATTCTAAATACATATGAGACTGAGTGAGTAGATTTTCTTAAACACACTTAAAGAACGAATATCATTCTATTTCAAATGTTTTTATTTATAATAAAAGAAAATTCAATACTTACTTGAGGAAACAGGCATACTTAGAATCTTTCCAATATAGCAGATATTTCAAATAGTTAATAAAACACTGATCTTTAAAATACCCTCTCTGAGCTAAAACTGAAAAGAATAGATAGATTATTACAATTAAGTTTAGGTAGAAAATAGGCATAAAATTTGTCTGGGGCTGATACCGGTATAAAGAATAGTAGTGAAATAAAGTAATGCCGTTATTCATATATATAGAAAGATTCCTTAAAACAGTTTTCATTTTTATACTCCCACATCTCTCTATGTGGACGTATATTGTCGGCACTCCTGTCGGTCCGTCGGTCAACATTTGCTTGTAAAAACTAGATTTTTTGACGGAATCAAATGAAATTCGGTATGTGTATACATATTCATAAAACGAAGATCAAGATCAAATTTGAGCTATTTTCGGCTGTTAGAAGCAGAGTTATTGCCCTTGCCCCAAAATCTTGAATATGCTATTACTCTGTTAGTTTTCAACCGATTTTGATGAAACCTAAATGGATGTTTCTTTTTTACCATCCGCATGCTGTGAAGGGCGTATATGGCTGTGGTCCACTATCTTTTATGAAAACAATCATCTTCCATTATAATGATTAAAGTTGGTAGAAAGAGTTATCAGCTAATGTAAGAAATATTTTCTCATATTTTGATTGATTATTATGACTTTGCACTGATAGGTCATTGAGTTGAAGACACAATGTACCTTGAGAAGGCAATAGATTTAAAGGTTATTAATACACTGTTCACATAGCACTGATCTAACTAGGGTTCTAGGTCATAACTCACTGACATTTGTTGACAGTTTGTATGTGTTAAGACAGCTCCAGTCATACATGTCAAGGACATAGAATAATGCATGCAAATGAGGCAACTGTTTTAATTTTGAAACTATCACCAAACATTAGGAGTGGTTCTTTTTTTTCATATTATGTATTTTAAACCCTCTTTGGTTTATTTAAATTGAATTGCGCTACGGTCTTTTATAAGTTTAATTGTTCTGTTTAAAATACACTAGATTTACAGAATAATTAGGCCATGTCAAGTAGAGGTTACATTGTATTTTGAGAAGCGTCAATCAAAAACTATGCACTGTGCATGTTAAAAGTTTTTTGTGTTGATTATCAACTTTAATAATTATAATTATGAACGTCAATCAAAATTGATTTGTTTAAAATGAGTTGTAAATTCCACCTGTGGTTAATTTCACAGATGATTTAAGTAGTGTGCTGGCTATCTAATCTATCATAGCTTAAGTTCAAATATAACAAACCATATTTCATTTCTAGATATAAACTAATAGCTAAAAACAGATAACTTACAGTTTAAATAATTAGGATTGGCCAAACACTGAACAAATTCTAATTCAACTTGAAAACGGATTCTCTGTTGTTCTTCAGTTTCTGAAATAAACAATATCAAATTATGAACTCATTTAGGAATTGTTGAACACTATATCTGGAAGGGCATCACCTAATAATTCCCGTTTTTGAGACTCTAGTTACCTCGGTCTGGTCAAAAAAATGTCACAACTGTCCCTTTAAAGTTAGGCCTAATATAAATAATAAAGCTCATAAAAGAAATAAAAACTATTAGTAAGTGGAGAAATTGTTTAAATTTAATGAAAATCCATTCAAATCTACTTTTTCAGCTATTCTATAAATCTACCAGAGTTGTTTTTTAAACTTAAAGGGCCATTCTGCTTTTTTTGTAAATCATTTTCATTATCAAAAACGTCCTAATTTATACCTGAAAATATTTCTAAAATACGCGGTATGCTATTTATATCTATATATCTACTTGATCAAACTGAATTTGTTTTAAAAGGGTTAATTAAAATTACTACTACTAATTGTTAATTAAGCAGTATGACATAATTTCGGTGATTGGCTTTATAATGACTCGTTATATTTGGTTGAAAAGTTTAGAAAACGTAGGAGACATATTTCTCTACAAATAGTCGTTTATTTTACTCAAATCAGTGGGCTATAACGTGTAGCCTAGTAGTTTTTTAACAGCTTGCAAAACACATAATGAACTTTAAAAGGTTATATAACGTTTTATGTAAAGTTTTGGCGTTGAAAAATTAATGGCTCGATCTTTCAAGTTTAAACTTTCAGATAAGTTATGGTTTACATTTGTATAGATTTTGGTTTATTATTTTATAGTGTTCCCAAATTAGAGCAAAAAAATTTTTGACCTACAAAAAAGCGGAATGTCCCTTTAAAATCATTGATAATGGAAAATACCGTGACATCGTATCTACTGTTTTGCAGACTAGCTTACCTGTCATTTTAATAAATAGTTTACAGCCTGTTTAATAAAGAAAGTTAACTAAAGAGTCTTTTTGTAGAGAAACAGAATGAAAAATGTAAACAAAAAAATTTCGACGCCTTTTAATAAATTAGAGTTATCTTCCCTTTGTAATTGGTGTCAAATCGTACACATTCGAAAATGTACAAGTCGTAAATTGGAGTCAAATCGTCCAATACATCAAATGGATGGAAATTTGCATTAAGCATATTAAATTTGTAACTTGATGGACGGTTTCTTGTTGTTTTTGCACAAGAAATAGGGGCAATTTTCTTCTCTTAATACGATACAGACCTGAAATAGCAATATTATACGTCACAATTTTAAAATATTTTGATTTGACAAGTTTTGCAGGCCATTGTTCTACTTTGGGGATTATTTGTAGAATGCTTTGTCAAATTTGATAACGAATAAGACGCTTTGGTTTAGACCTTTTGAGGGTACCAAAATAATTTTCATTCCGAAGCACTTATTTTGGCCACTGACTATGAAAGACTGAAGACATGATAGCTGTCTATCTATACTCCAGTTGGTATCTTTCATCCTGAGTATAAACATATATATTGTTTACAACCAGTACAACGAAACATTTGGCCTGATGAAAGAAATCTTACTGCTCACTGGTTAAAGCCATAGTGTAATGGAGGATAATGAGACCAATACCCCACTTTTGAAAAGGCGAACAAACTTAAGAGGAGTTTTATTAAGAAAGAAAATTGGTCTTTTTCAATTGCATATTTCAAATCTACATAGACCCCCCATTTAAGCCATTAAACTTGGATTGTGTTACGCCCTAGTAGTCACTGTGACTTGAATTGAATTTTTTCTCCTTTTTAGTTGTCATCAGTGAAGTTTAAAACTTCCCTGTTTTTTTCTTTTCGTCGGGAGAAAAACAATCTCATATTTCTTCTTTGAAAAGATACAAAGTTCATCTTTTGTTTTTTTTTTCATTTTAAAGCATGTAGCCCACGATCTTATTACAGTTCATTTAATCATAAAGTAACCGGTGGGTTCGTTTTGCCGCATTGCCCAACTTGCCGCATCGTGCCCAACTGCACAAAAACAACTTGTAAAACGAAATTAAAGGTTTCTGATAAAATCCGGAATGGCCATTTGTTTCACATGAAACGAAATATTTCAATCTGTTGCCCCGCATCGATTTTCTTATTTATGATTTGGACATATAGTTAGGGAAGTCGAAACTATAGTTTCAAGACTCGTACTGTGCCTTTTTACAGAGGCATACTCTTCGCTCTTATGGTGACAATACTTAGTTTTCAAAATATAACCCTCACCGCTCACGGTTTTAGATTCCGCAATACTTATTTTCCTGTGGATCAATCCGATGTCTGAACTGTCATTTTTTTCTAAACAATCGCAGGTTCGTCTATTTTTGTCTCCATCTGCCGACTTTTATCTGGAACCAGTGGAATTATAAGGCACAACTAATACGAGAATTCTAAACTTCTCCTTGCTTGATAATTCTGATTTACTATTCAGAAGATTTTTACTTTCAAACATTTAAGTTGATATTTTTTCTAGCACGTGGGTGACGTTATAGGCACGCAGTAGAGGGACATAACTCTTGCAAGTTATGACCAAGATTTTATTTATTGAACTTGTCTTGTTTCGTTTCATGGATTTATGTATTTTGTATTACGGTTCTGATCGTTTGTACTTGGTATTTATTTTATTCCAGATTTTACTATAAAAACAGGTCCAAATTATAAATAAAGCAGATTAAAATATTCCGTTTCATGTGAAACAAATGGCCATGGATTTTATGAGAAACCTTTGGATTCATTTAAAAAGTCGTTTTTGTGCAGTTGGGCACGATGCGGCATGTAAGGCAATGCGGCAAAACGAACCCATCGTAAAGCAACCCATGTGTGCGTGAACCGAGAAACGACAATTTAACACTCTTATTTGAATTTTAAAGTGATACTACGTCTTAGAATGAACATACAATTAAAGTTCTAAAGAATGGTCAATATGAGTATATATTCATTAGTGAACTTACCTGTTGTAGCGGGGTTTAAGTCTAATTCAGTCTAAATTAATCATTTCGGGTAAACTAAGAATTTGCATAATATTTTAATAGATTCACAATTTATCAGACACCAAGGAAATCATTTCGGGCATAGATTTAATTGGGATAAATTGACAATGGGTTCACACAATAGGGTTACAACAGATCGACTTCTGTCAACGTAGGGGATTAAAAGTATCAATAGGTTATGTCATGTGAATGTCCACTTGTAACAAAGAAGCTTGGTAGGTAGGTAGATGACAAGTTAACGTTCGCTTCCAGAGGATGCTGATGTCGCAAACTAGGTAGTTGTTGGTAGTCGTAGTAGTTGGTAGTTGGATTGGTTCAAATTGGATGATTCTGTGTTGTTGGTTTGGTTGTTGATTCTTCGTCAGATCTGGTCGGGTCGAATGACATGGCGGTGAAACTCGGCCCTGGATGGTGTGGCGTGAGTTACTCGATCTCCTTCATTCTTCCAAACTCTGATCATGGTATTTCCTGTTGATTGGTAGTCGAATGGTAGTCGTTGGTTTGGTTTGGTTTGGTTAATTATCTGTTATCTGTTGGAAAACTAGAAGACCTGAAAAAAAAGGAAAAAAAAGGAAGTGAGAAAAGAGGGAGGAAAAAAGGGGTGGGGGGGGGGGGGGGGTGGAGCTTTCAACAAAAGGGGGGAGGATGTTCTCTGATGTTTCTGCAATGAAACTTGTTAAATTGATTGGATATAATTTAAAAGTGTTATGAAACTTTGAGTATAAAAACTTAGCCTATCTGTTCAAGACAGATTTGGTTATAAAATGGAAGACTAGTTCCATTATCGTATACCAGTGGTCCGTGGGTGGAGCCAAAACATTCTGTATGGTGAGTGGTATGCCGTTGGTTTCCAGGTACTCTAGCAGTGGCTTACGAGCGGGTTTCAGTTCAGTACATTGAATGAGGACATGCGACCTTGTGGCAACGTGGCCGTAGCGACATTTAATGGCGTTGAACTGATGGTCTCGTAGTACGTTGTTGGTCCGGAGTCTGGTTGAGACAAAGAAGCTTGAGACACAAAGCATTTTATAGACAATAGAGAGTTCACTTAAAGGGTTTGAAAAAAGGGTCTGGGTAACAAAGCATTAGATGGGGCTACCAAAAAAATGGGGGGAGGGGAGGGGGATAAATTCACAAAAGAAGGGAATTTTGTGGGGGGAATTTTGAGCAACGGGTTTAACGTGAAAACGTTGATCCTCAGAATGATTCCCGAACTGATGTCTTCCACTTGTTCATGTGGCTTGACAAAGAAATCATCGAAAGCTATACAAATTTGTGCACAAAACATGCTCACTTTTACGTTTGAAACAAAACTGTACATGCATGTTTCCGGTTTTAGTGGTTTTGGTATTTTAGGTTGATGTATTACAATGCTAAGGGTGAGTGATGGAGAAATATTTTCTCAAAGGGGGATTTGGATCACGAAGTCTGAGAAGCACTTCTTTATCCATTGGTGAGCTTTTGTTCAACTCATCAATGTGATCTCATCATTCTGAACATTCACTAATTATGGTTCAACTTAATCCAGTTATTAGTTTGTAAAGTATTAACTCCTATCATTTAAGTGTACTTTTTTAAACTTCTTTGTTATTTATTCTACTTTCAGGGTTTGTTATTATTGTAAAGTTTAGAAAATCTACCCATTGTGTGTTCGTTCAAGCGATAACAATTTAAATTTATATAAGAAACAAAAATAGGGTTCATTTTTCTCGAGACTGAATGTACCTAGGACGCATTTTTAGAAAATAAAGTTAGCTTTCTATCACATGCTCCATTTACCATTGGTATTTAAATATAACATTTTATCCCCTATATTAACAATAGAATATTCCAATCAATATTTAACTGAGTCACACTTCACAATATCAGTTACAAGTCAGTCGACTACCGAGCACCTTACATTATATACAATGGGGGTGCAGAGTTACGGGAGTTTGCTCCCCCTGTTACTCTTCACAACGGTGTATGCTGGTTCCTATTTTACTGTGTGTACGTCTAAAGATGAAAAAACCGTCGGAGACTTTGTGATTGAAGATTATGGTGGTAACAACATCAGCCTGTCCCAGAAATACCCCGGGAAAATCCTCATGTTGGTAAATACAGCAACATTTTGAGGTGAGTTTTTCATCCATTCTTTTGTTTTATTTATGTAAACTGTCTAATCATTTCACATTACACAGGCTCATAATTTGTTACTTTGAACTTTTCATTCATTTATTGGATTAATTCATCCGTACCGCTACTGACTTGGCATTTGATAATTTGAATCAATCTCGTCATTGATTTAAATCAGACCATATGTTAGTAGTATAATATATGTGAAATGTAGACAATGTAATCGCTTCACTGGTGACGAAAATGTAAATTTATTGTGTTCTGTGGGAGAAAATCAATATTTGCAATATAGGGATGCATGTATTAGAATGTGTCAGCCTCTCTGTATCTGCTTCCGCATTTGTGCCCAATTTAATGGCTTAGTGATCCTAAAGTGAAATTTCACGTTAACAATTCGCATTTTGTCTAAAAAGTGATCGCTTGTTACATACAGTTACTTTGACTTGTCTAACTGGCTTTTCTACAACTTATTTTAAAGTTTGAATAGTCTGCTTTATCAATTTATTCCATGCAGATACAGTAACACTTGTATCAACGGCCACCCAACCTGTATTGAGCATGAATGGCCACCCAAAGTCCACCAAATGTCAATGGACAATTTTGGATGTATTATGACAAACCGAGTTTTTATTTTGAGAAAGGATGGATACGGAGAACTGAACCATAACTATTAGCACTTTCTAGAACAAATATATATTTGTAAGACTGGATCTCTTTTAACATGGAGCCTCTTGTCAAATCTACATGTCCAAGCGATTCTTAAGTAACTTGTAGCTAAATAATGTTTGCTTGTTTTTATATCAGTG